TGTCTTATCCCAGGGATGCCATTCAAATAACTCTGACCTCTCTGTGGATTTCAAAGAAAGAGCTCAGTCTCAGTTTTCTAATTTTCCCAAATAGTCTCTATAGATGGAGGGACCATGGTTAAGGGATACCACAGAATTTGCTTGGGGGCTGCTGGGTAAACTCAGTACAGAGGTAATCTGCTCCCCTCTGCAAGTCACCTGCTTCAGCCTTCCCTGCAACTCAATCACTAGCACACAGCTAACCAAATTACTGCTCAGGGCTCTGGGCCTCCTATTATGTGACTCGGGAGCCTCATTTGCAATCACCATTAACCAGAAAAGCTGCTCGACTGCTCCGTGCCCATCGAGTCGAGTGTCATACAATACCAAGGGGCTGGAAGAGGCTGCAGACAGCCTCTAGGATAAAGCTCAGAGAGTGCAGACCACCAGCCTCTACCCACTCCCTCGCTTACCTTTCCCCAACTCCTGTCAAGTGCTAATGAGCAGGAGGTGGCTCCAGTCTAGGCAGAGAAAGAAGATGGGGAAATTGGTCAGAGGACTGGGAACAGAGCCCTCAGAGGTGGCTGTGTGAATAAATAAGAACTGGGTAACCCACAGCCCAGCTCTTAAACAATCCTGTCAGAAACCCTTAACTGCTTTACACTAGGTATTCACACTGCACGCTCCAAAGGCCATTTCTAAATCTCTAAAAACAAAGCTCAGGTTTTACTCAGGTCTTCAGCTCACATCCCTGCTGCTCCCAACTGTGCTGTGTCAGGCAGTTAGCAAAGCCCCAGGGCAGCAAGGGATTTCCAAAGATTACCCCAATAAACAGTTAGAGGTGATGTTTGGCTTTGCCACACACCTCACATCTCTCCTGTTTCTCTCCTTGGAGGATCACCTTCTCTTCCCTCCCCGGCTCCACCACTCAGAATACATTTTCCCCCCTAGGCTGGTCTTAGAATGAAAGGCACAGGGATACCACAGGAATGGTACTGAAATGCCCCAGTTAGAGGTCTCAAATCTGCCAGGCACTTAAACCCATCATTGTCCCATTCCGTGTTTCTGTCTGTAAGCCCAAGGTTAATGGGTTACCACAGACAAGAGCAGCAGGGATCTGGCTGGCTGGAGGCAGGAATAGCCTCCCCTCCCAGGGAGGTGGGAAGACTTATGTTCCCAGGTCAGGACGCAGAGGAGGGCACTGCGTGGAGGTATCAGAGAGGGCCTTTTGGAAGTTTGCCAAAAAGCATTTTGCATTTTGGGTATTTTTGCAGAAAGCATTTCTTTTTTTCAGGAACTTGTTTTCAAAGCCTGTGGTTAAAAGGAGGAAGTCGCACAGACATCTCTTCTCAGTCACTGTCCGCTGGAGGAGTGCTGAAGCCTGACCGCAGAAGGGCTCTGGCTGCGGCTGCAGACCCTTCCCTGGGGGAAACCTGGCTGCAGGAACGGGCCATCCCGCCCACCCTCAAGGGGTACTACCCGTCTGTAGGCGGGGCAGAAGGCAGTGCTGCGCAAGGCAGCCAGTGCCAACGGGAGAGGAGCCAGGGGAGAAAGGCTTCTTGGGTCGGAAACAAGCAAAGGACGCGCGGAAGGAAGGAATGCTGAATCAGACCCAGGCGCGGCAGCCTCAAGAGCGCCGCCTGCAGCTTTCTCGCCGCATTGCAATAACTCTGTGACCTGGGAAGCAGAGGGCATGGAGCCAAGAAAGCTGGCTCCTTGGGGGCCGTCTCTCATGAAGCGGGAAGGAAAAGTGGGGGTATCATTTGAAACCCTTATCTTTGCAAGAATCATCCCTACAGACGGAGACAGACACAGGGACACAATCTTATTCGCTGTATTGCCTGGCATTCTCTTAGAGCTGAAGTCTCTCTAGCACAATGCCACTTACTCCAAAGGACCCTTTTAATTAGGGAAGGCTTAGTGGTGTAATGGCTCTAACCATGGTATCTGCAGGCCCCAGGAAGGCTCTGCCTTCCACTTAAAAGAAGAGGCATGAGGCTTGAAGGAATCCCAGGTTATTGAGTAATCACCATAATATGATTGAGAATGAAGGTGACCTATAAAAGCATAGTAAATACACGAGTTACTCTTCTCAGTAAATGAATTTGGATGATAACCCAGCATTTGCCTCAGGTTCTTGGATGTTGTGAGAATTCCCAGGAAAACCCAGACAAAGATAAAGAGTGTAAAAGTACTTCCACAAAGAAAAATGCAGGTTCCCAGACTTCTTTGTAGCTACATACAAAATTGAAAACAAGGTTGCAGTCTCTCTGTCCTTGGTCACAATTTCATGTTCCAGCCTGTCATACAAAGTGTGGGGAAGCACCACAGATCAATAGCTATTCTGGGTTATATTGCCACAGTTTGTTCGTTCTCTCTCCCCCCCACCTTTAAGAAAGAGGGATATTTATTTATTTAGGTAGATCACAGCTTATTACATTGAAGGCATACTCCTGTGGTCTATTTATGGAAATTAACTTTTACAAAGAGAACCTTTTTGTCAGCCTTTGTGCACTTTTTAATCTAAGCAGTGGGGCGGTGATACTTCTAGAGGGTTGTTCCTTTAGAAACTCTGCAAATGACTGTTAGGCCTCAGCTGTGAGGAGTAGGTAAACTTAACTGCTGGGCCACCCAGATCCTGGATGAGCGTGGGGTGCTTATGGAGACTCCTCTGAGCTCTATGCTGTGCCCCAAGCCTGACAGCATTCTTATACTCCACATGCTTCCCCCCCCCCACCAACCAGTGGTGATTCTTTTATAAGCAAACTCCCTAGGTGGATTTTTTTTTAATGGGAAATGAAAAATCAAATGAGAGTGTATGTGAAAAAGTGAGCCATGCAAAATAGCCCCTCAAAGCATATGTCACCTATTTTTATGTTCCTGCTTATAGGATTTCCAAGTTGCCTGAAGGCTCCAAGTGACAACTTTTGAAGTTCCTACAAATTATATGCAAAAACATACATTTTTTTTAAAGGAGAGTATTACAAAGCACATTTGCCCCTCATATCTCTTGGCAGCCTCACAATGCTGTGGAGCATTATTCCTATGCTCCTGTTGGAGGTGATGAAGGGGAGTCTCAGAGAGGTTCAGTCATTCAAGGTCACACAGCTGGTTAGAGTTAACTCAAGGTTTCCAGCCCTGACTCTGAACCCCTGGGTTTTGCAGCAGAAATAAGTGTCAATATCCAAGGAGATATCACCCCCAAAATATCCACAGATGGCTTCCCCTCACCCCACACCAAGACCTCCGCACCCCTCTCTCCTCCATCATCAGCTGCGGGCAATGAACCATATAAATTCAAACCTCAGAAATGCTAAGTCTCGTAAACAATTTTTAAAGGTATTAAAATGCAAAACAGGAGTAAACAAAATTTCTTGCCACAGGGAACTAACTAATGTAAAGTGACAAAATAATGGGAGTTCGAATGTGGTCTCAAAAGCGACCATAAAATGGAATTCAGAATTATATTTTAATATGCATCCTATACACTTGCTTTGTCAGGGATGACTGGTAGAGAGTTCTCATTTATAAAACTAAGCTATAAAGGAAGAAAGGAATGAGAGGAGAGAGAGAGAGAGCGCGAATGAGCCAGACCCAGAGGGAGAGAGGGAGAGAGAGCAGGAAACATTGAGTGAGATGGTATTAGTCACAGCTAAGGTCCCAGGAAGTCGGTTCCTAGGTCGGATCAAGTGTGCTGGTTCCAGTGCAGTCCATGGCTCCTGCACTTGGGGCTGGCCTTGGCATGTGGCCTCAGGCTCTCCAGGCAGCTGTCCTTCCTAGGGACTTCCAGGAATGGGGTTTGGAGGGATGATCAGCACAGGCTTGTAGGGTGGCAGCTAAGGACAGCTGCCAGGTGAGAGTTCATAAAGTGACAGGCAACATCCAACACTCTACCCAGCAGCAGTGGTCAGAAGGACAGATCTGTCCTCGTGCACACTGTCCAGCATTCCTGCTACAGACTGGCCCCTCCCCCTGCCCTCAATCCTCCAGTACAGTGGGGAGCACCCAAAAGCAACTCTCAAAGAAAGAGTCCCACCTTTTACTTCAGGACAGAGCCAAAGTGGCTCAGAGTTTCTCATGTGGGGAGTTCAGCTGAGTCCTCCCACCATGCCTCACCCCATTTTCCCCCCCTCCTCTCCATCACCCCTGGCCAGTGGCTCTTCATTCATTTCCCCCTCAGCCCTGGCTGTGATTGTAGTGATCCTTCTAGAGCCCATGTTTTGACTCTCTCTTAAAGGGCCTTGACAGAAGGCACAATGCAGAGGCAAGGACGTCAGAGGAGTAGCCAGGCAGCCACCAGCAGCTCAGCACCCAGCTGCCAGCAGAGCTTCAGGCAGCCAAGGCTCCAAGCTGGTTTCATTATTACACAACTGAAGCAAAGCCCTCCTCCCCCTCCTCCTGTACTCAGGAGAAAGGTGTCCATCTAGCTGGCAGGAACACACCAAGTCCAAGGACAAGGGCCAATACTTTGCAGAAGGAGCCCCCTCACCAATTCCCTGTCTCGGGGCTGCTCATTCCTGCAGGTACTTTTTGCTAGATCTGTAGCCCCCTAGCCAGCAGGGGCTTCCAAAATCCCTGTACTTAACTGCCTTTCCCAGCACATGGGACAGACAGCGATCTGGGTAACTTTTCAAATCCTATCTTCTGAGCACTTGCCCACAAACATTTGAAAGAGTGGTGGGTACACCCCCCACCCACCCACGCCCTGCTCCACACACATACTCTCTCCACCACCTTCATCCACCCCCCCACCCGCCAATCCTGCTCCTGTTGCAGGCGTGGGGAAGACACTAGATCATTGCTCCAGTGTTTCAGGGAAACAGCACACCGTCAGCAAGAGCACCAAGCCAGCTAGAGAGAGAGAATGAGCCCAGGCAATCACCTCCGACGACTACAGGGTCCCAGCACCCGCGAACCGGTATTTGGAAGGCGCTCTGCACGCTGGAGGCTCACCGCGGCCGCCGAGGAGGGACGAGTCCCTGAGCAGAATGCATGCACAATGCTGCGAGACAGCGACTCACCTTTAGGTTGTGCGTGGGATTGACAACGCAGACAAGTTGCCCAGCAGCAGAGAAAACCCGTTTGGCTTTGTAGTGCTGAAACCGGAGGTGAATGAGATCTAACACAGCCCCAAAGCACTGGGTAAAGAAAAGCATCACAACTTTTGGGGGGTTGTTGGCACAGGAAGGCAGAGGAGGGAGCTGTGAGTCCTTGGGCTCTGGAAGGAGCGCAGCCTCTGAGACACTCCGCTCCAGCCCCGCTTAGCGTGCCTTCATATTCATCATCAAAATAAGACGGTTAGAATCTTGCAGCAGTGGGGCAGCCAATCAAAAGGACAGAAATGTTATCCTTGAGGTGCAGAGACAGCCAATAACAAATGCCTCCCCTACCGAAACTCCCTGATGAATTGAGCCTGGTCGAGAATGTATTATTGAACATTACCATAGATCAGCACATTGCATTTATCTTGTGATTACAGCCAACCATACATAATGCTGGGGAGATAGGCTGACAAAATTGATTGCTTAATGTGTCTCCATTTATTAATTGACTTAATTTAACATGAGAGCCTTTCTTAATGCCCTGCCCCCCCCCCAAAATGTAAAGCGTTTAAACCGCCAAATAGTAAAACACCCTGCTCCAAAGTAGGCAGATGGATAACGCAGATCGTGGCTCGACTCACCAGAGCTGCTTGGGAGAAAATCAAATATTACAAGACTCTGATTCCAGATAAGGATTTGGCAGCAGCAGAGATGTGTATCTTTCAATCTTGCGCCTCTGACTGTCTGCAATTTGGATTACAGCCCCTTGATAAATCTAACTCTCCACTTTTTATATATTTAAAAAAAAAACAACTGACAAACTCATTTGGAGCCGATGGGGGAAAATATGTGTATATATAGACATTTTTTTCAAAACACTGTAATTACTGAAATCTTTTTTATTAAAGCATAAAAATGCAGAGAGTACACTTCTAAAAATAATGAAATCCCTGATGCATGAATGCACACACAGAAAAACCTACACAGAGAAGAAAGTGGCTTGTAAATCAGCAAAATAATTACAGAGGCAGAGACCCTTTGCTTGTCATTCATTTGCATATTGGTGGACAGCAAATTGCTAATTAACCACTAGCTGGTTGGAGACATTAAAATAGAGATTAAGAACACACACACCACATCACTTACTTGCTTGGGGAATGCTAGTAGCACTGTTTCTGTGCTGGAGCAGGCAGAGAGCATTTGGGTGCTCACACTGTAACACAAACTCACCTTGCTCTCCCCAAATGGGCTGGTGGGACCAGGCCACCAGGTGGTTCTTAAAGAAGGTCTCCCAAGCAGTACATAGAGAGTACATTAGAGTTTCTAGGGATGAGCTCTGATAGTGTATGTGGTCTTTGTAACTAAAGCCAGGTGTATTGTATTTTCCCACTTCTTGGCTATTTCTCTATGGAGCAGTCAGACCAAATCCAGTGCTGCCTGGGGCACAATCAGTCTCATTAGTGAATTGCAGCCATTGAGTGTAAGCTCATTACTCCTTCCTGAATGACTCTCACTCTGCCCCACTACAGTGCTCAGGTTGCAAAGCATCAACAGCATATGCTGATACGGGAGGCTGAGGTAAGAGAACCACGAGTTCAAAGCCAACCTCACAACAGCGAGGCACTAAGCAACTCAGCGAGACCCTGTCTCTAAATAAAATATTTTTAAAAGGGCTGGGGACATGGCTCAGTGGCTGAGCGCACCTAAATTTAATCCCTAGTATTCCCCCCCCCCCCCTCCAAAAAAAAGCATATGCTGAAATATCTGGGTGTTTCTTGGTCAGGCAATAAACTAAAACAGATTAAAATATAGGAAGAAAAATATGCATATGTTTAATGACATGGGAATAGAGCCCAGGTTAATTTTAACCTAAATTTAAAACCAAACCCATATTTTAAGGGACAAGCTCAACACCAAATAAAATTGAAAAATTGTGCTTTTAAAAATAATTTTTCTGGCATAAAACTAGATGACAGTGTTCAAATTGATTAGACCCTTTTCAATGTGCTGTTTTTATAGAATATGAGTTCCTGGACCCATTTATTACATGGTTGTAAATAAAGGTTGTTGGTCTACACTATTAGAATTTGCTTTCTGAAGTTTATATTTTCTGGAAAAAGCTTTCAGCAATTCAGCAGGAGACCATTTTGGTGTGTTTTTATTGTCTTTAAAAAAAAAAAAGTGAACACAGACTCCCATGGATTCCTTAAAGACACACTTCATAATTCAGAAAGGTTCAAACTTCCTCTTTTATATTCTTTATAGAATGGATATTTTGTTTGTTTGTTTTGTTTACATTTAATTTTTTTTGTTCATTTGTTTATTGCTTTTGTCACCCTCTAGAATAAGTCCCCTGAGGGTGAAGCTTTTTTTGCTGTCATCTAGTTTTGTTTCTTTTCAAATCTATTTTAAATAAAATGATTATAAGGAAAGTAAGGAAACCATCAAATAGATCAAAGGTCTATTATTTGATTGATAATCTCATGTTTGTTTAAGATATAGAAATCAGTGCTCCTTGTATGTTTAAAATTTTATTAAATATTATTTTCAGATAAATATTAGATTCTCTCAAATTGAGAGGAAGGCACAGTGAGTTCCCGTGTGCCCCCTGCCCCAGCACATGCATAGCTCCCCACACTGTCAACATCCTCCCCCCAGCACTGCAGTGCATTGGTTGTAATTGGTAAACTTCCACTGGGTATCATCCTAATCCAGAGTCCACAGTTTACATCAGGGTGCACAGTACGCTGGATATACTATGGGTATGCACAGACTTATAATGGCAAATACCTACCATTGTAGAATCGCCCAGGAGGGTTTCACTGCTCTAAAAATCTTCTGTGCCCTTTATTCTTTGCTCCTTCTCCTCAAATCCCTGACAGCCATGGGCCTTTTCACCATCCCCATAGTTCTGCCTTTTCCAGATGTCATAGTTAGGACTATGTGTTATATAACCTTTTTGAGTGGTCTTTTCACTTAATAATGTGCATCCAGGTCTCTCTGTGTCTTTTCAGGACTTGATAGCTCATTTGTTTTTAGTGTTGATTAATATTCTTTTTTTCTGGATGTACCACAGTTTATCCATTCTCCAACTGAAGGACATCCTGGTTGCTTCCAAGTTTTGGTAATTATGAATTAAGCTGCTGTAAACATCCATGTTCAGGTCTTTGTGTGGACATGTTTCCAACACCTCTGGTTATATACCAGGGAGCCACATTGCAGGATTGCATGGTAAGAGTATATTTAGTTCTATAAGAAACCACCAAACTGTATTCCAAGGAAGTTGCACCATTTTGCATTTCCACCAGCAATAAATAACTTCTTGATATTCCACATCCTGAGGCACAGATTGGGGTGATATGTCTATAAGTAAGGAATGCCAAATATGACCAGAAAAAGAAGCATGGAACACAATCTCCCTCATAACCCTCAGGGAGAACTAGTCCAGCTGATGCTTGGATATTAGACCTCTAGCCTCCAGAAGTGTGAGGCTAATTTTCTGTTGTTCCAGCTGCCTGGGTTGTGGCACTTTGTTATAGCAGCCCTAGCCAACTAGTGCAATAACTTTGTCCAATTCATGGAAATCTATCAGATTGAGTTGTCTGTATGAAAGATATATGTCCTTGGTAATAATAAAGTAACATGTGGATGAACTTGTCATGAATTTTGAAATGGTGAAGTACTTCCTAAAGATTTTTTTAAATCTACTGAAGTAATCATAAAGGGAAAAACCTGATTATATAAAACATTAAACTTTGTCAAAATGATTTCTAACAAATAAAATTGAAAAGAAAAGAAACAATTAGAGATATTTTACAGGAACAGTGACAAAAATTTCCATTCCTAATAAATAACTCTTCTCTTTGCACTTGAAAGAATTAAAGTTACATAGAAAAAAGTTGACAAAAGATACAGACAGAGCACATGGAAGAAATAAAAAGATGAACAAGCAGAATGCAAAGTTACCAAGAAGGCAGAATCAGAAGTCCCAGTCCTCACCTTCTGATCCAATAGAAACATCAATTTAACAACCATCCACAGATGAAAATACCTCTAGGAATTTTCCAGAATCCACTTGTACACATTAAATATGTATAGCTTTTTGTATCTCATACTTCAAAAAAGAGGTTTTAAAATAAAGATTAATAAGCAAGTGAAAAATACTCAATAGAACTAGAAATCAAAGAAATAAAAATTCAAACAAGATAATATCTTTTATCTGTCAAATTGATACTTTTCATTTTTAAACAATCCACAACATGGAGTAAATTGTAGCCATAAAATTATGTGGAAAAAAATTCAGAAAGACACATGCATAAAACTATTTGTTGCAATACTATTTGTAATAGTAAGAGACTAAAATAAAAGAATAGGGATAAATAAATCATTAGTTAAAGAGTAGAAACCACCAGATTATCTCTGCATGGAGGACTGGTTTAATAAACTACATACATTTACATAATGGTAACCATTAGCCATAGAAATAACCATTATCTACGAATACTGGACTTCAAATACTGAAATGAATTCCATGTATATTGGTGTCTGAAAAAAGAAACATGAAGGGTAGTATTAATAACATGAAAATACTTTAGAATTAGAAGTATGTATTTATTTAAGGAGTTGTTTTTAAAAGGAAGAATACATAAAAAGTTTTTTAAAAAGTTAACCTAGAGGAGAGAAGGGTATAGAGTATAAAGAAATGAAGCTAAATTTTCTGAATCTGGCTTGATTAGTTTGACTTCAACACATTTAAGTTATTTTATAAAATTATTAAAAAAAAGAAGGAATTCCCAAAAGTCAAAAGCAAAAGAAAACAAGTCAACTGTTTTTTAAGTTGGTGGCACATGCACACAGGGGACAACTTTATGTGAATTCAGAACATAGAAATTTGACCGTATCCTCAGTAAGAAACACTCTATTAAAAAAAAAAGTTATGGAAAATGTAACTACTGTCAGTAATTTTATCATTGGCGATAGTGTTTATGTGGTTTAAAAACACACCTCCACCTTCAAGATGTACAACCTAATTTTCCTTTTCGAGTGGGAGCAAGATTTACTGAGTTGACCATAATAAAAAGCATAAAAGTGATAATGTGTGATATGTAAACCTTGGTCATCAATGGAATTGAAGTTTCCCCACTGTTCTCCTG